AGGCGCTTGGAAAGAGATGCCCTCCGCCTGCACCGGGGCTGCTGCTGCTCTCCTTTTCAGCGCGCCCAGGAGGCCCCTCGGAGTGACAGTCAGCACCAGGGTTGCCACATCCAACTCTGCCCCCGCCCCCCTGCCCTGTGCGGGCCCCCCCCCCCCCCCAAAACTGCCATCTGGCCTCGGGCCACTCCAGGCCCATTCATCACTTTATCGAGGGCCTGAAAGTATGCCCCTTGGTATGTGTCCCCCATGGGGACCCCAGTTGGAAGCACCCTTTGTTCTGAAGAGCCTCTCCCTTCAAAACACTCCTGCCAAAGTCATAAAAAAAAAAAAATGTTGGCCAGCTCCTCCCCCACCCGTCCCTCTCTGCGGGCTGCCTTTCAGAGGTGACCTTTTAAAGCAGAGGCCAGCGGAGAGCCGCTGTAAACTAACGTTCTCTTTTCTTAACAAAGAGAAAAGACGGCACGCCAGAATTTTAGGAGAGTTCCTGGATAAACGCGAGGACACTGTTTCAATCCCTGCGATTAAGACTGGCCACTGGGGAGGCTTAAGGGCTTTCAGCCTATGTTCTGTTAACAAATTGTTTCATTCCTTGGACCATCTGAAGTACCTACAGGGGATTATTTGAAATGCGCTCTATAAACCATGGCAAGATAAGGCATGGCAGCCTTCTGCTTTGATGTAGAGGTGGCTGTGGTTATGTCACATTTTTATTTCAGTTGGTAATGTTGGCTCTGCGTTTGCTAACAATGTTTGCCTACCGAGCCACTGTATCTGATAGCTAGAGTATAAATATATGTCTGAGTGATAAAGTACTAAAATAAAATAGAGACCCCACACATTCGGAGCAAGGAAATACTCTAAATATGGAAGCTCTGTTTTAAAACAACCCAAATCAGTTTCCAAAAATGTGCAAACTTTGCCCTGGTTTTAATAAATCAACTAATATGGAGTTAAAATTACAGTTGTTTTAAAAAAAAAATCTAAATTAAGCCTATTAACTAGGGTAAACTATAGCTTATTTTTGTCCAGTGGTTCAGGTTATATTTTCTAAGTTAAGAAAAAAAATCCCATAATGTTTTCAAAGTTGCACAAGAAGGATGGACATAATTTTTTTTTCTTTTGCCTGATAGGTAATCTCTACACCAGACAAGTCCAAATAGAAGGCGAAACCCTGGCTATTCAGGTTCAAGACACTCCAGGTATTCAGGTGAGAAGCTCTGAGATGCGTGACTAGGTCGATGGGGAGGTGGCTTGACTGTCGAACTGTTCAGTTCTCCAAGTACGAAGGCGAGGAATTTGGGAGCCAAGTCAAGGCTTTTACATGTGTGACACTTCAGTGCTATCTGGCTGTTGGTCAGTCCTAGCCTGGCTTGATTTGGGAGACGAGTGAGGGGCAGAAATCGCAGGAGTCTACCCAGCAGGAAAGACCAAACCAAACACACTGGGAACAGGCGGTTTCCGACTGTGGTTAAAAAGGTCACTTTTTACATTTGTGCCTTGCCATTCAAAATCAAAATCTAGGTATAGTCTCCAAATACTCGGAATCACTTTTTATTGTGGAAAGTTCCGCTATAGACAAAAGAGCCATGCTAGCGTGTGTGTGTGTGTTTCCCTCTTGAGCTGGGCAGTTATCCAGGTTTAAATGCTTCCAGCTCCTATCTTTACTTCTCCAGACTTACTGTCTAGCCAGTTAATTTCCCATTTTATGCAACTACAAAGTCTCCCTGCATGGAGTTCTCTGCAGGTCAATTTTCCACTTGAGTGTGGTGAGCTGCACTGTTATTTATTCCAGCTCTGTGCAGCTGGATCAACATATTGTCAAGAAAGCTGAAGTGTGTGGGGATATAACTTGTTTATGGCCTGCGACCTGGCATTACTGTCAAGGGCTCTTTGAGTTCTCTATCCAGCCCAGCCAGGGCTCTCTTCATTCACCTTGCCATTCCCCCTCTCTCAGGTCCACGAGAACAGCTTGAGCGGCAACGAACAGCTGAGTAGGTGCATTCGCTGGGCCGACGCTGTGGTCATCGTTTTCTCCATCACCGACTACAAGAGCTATGAACTCATTGGCCAGCTCCACCAGCAGGTCCAGCAGCTCCACCTGGGCACCCGGCTGCCCGTGGTGGTCGTGGCCAACAAAGCTGACCTGCTCCATGTCAAGCAGGTGGACCCTCAGCTTGGACTGCAGCTGGCCGGCATGCTGGGCTGCTCCTTCTATGAAGTGTCGGTCAGCGAAAACTACAACGACGTCTACAACGCTTTCCACGTCCTGTGCAAAGAAGTGAGTCACAAGCAGCCGCCGAGCAGCACGCCCGAGAAGCGAAGAACCTCCCTCATCCCCAGGCCCAAGTCGCCCAACATGCAGGACCTGAAGAGGAGGTTCAAGCAAGCCCTTTCTGCCAAAGTGAGGACTGTCACCTCCGTCTGAAGCAGAGGCACGCGGGGTGTGGTCTTCCCAGGAAGAGAGTCTGAGGCTCTTCAGGTGCAGGAACGTTGAATGCTGGGAGTAATTCGCGGTTCCAGAAAGGGCCGGAGCAGGGAGGCCCTGAGGGCCTGTGGAACTGGTGCGGAAAAGGAAGCATTGTTCTGAGCGGGGGACAGAACCGGTGAGGCTGATGCCCACCAGGCCGCTCTCTGAATATGTGAAATGGACTCCGTCTTGTCCTGTGGAGGGGAAGGGGCATAATTGCTTTGGATTTTGTCCTTAATGCCTTGTAAATGATGCTCAGTGGTAGTTTCACCAAATATATCGATGTGATTTACAGTGGGGATGAAGTAGATTCAGCTCTCACGGGCTTTCCTTTTTTTCTTCTTCCTTCTCTTTTCCTCCACCCGTATCCCCCAAGGAAGAATTGCTTTTCTCTTAAAAGGAGGATTTGCATCTCTGGAACCCTATTCCCTATAGAATGCCTTTCTAACTGGAAGGGCACCCAGTTTCTTAGGACAAAGAGGAAAATATTCCCCATCCCCCCCAAAAGGGTGGAGTTTATGGGCCAAAATGTGTACCCAGACATCTCTAAGCGTACATGGCCTGACACAGGAGGCTGCTTAGTTGAGCCTGTGATCAGTGGGTGGAGAACAAACTTTTCAGCCCCAAACTTTGAGTGGTGTGAGACTATAATTAAAAACAACAACAAAAAAAACTGTTGCATCAAGTACAGAAAGAGAATGTGTCCATTGAATTTGGTGTGATTTGTGTAAATGGCTCATGGCAATGATGTTGGGCTGCTTCCCAGGCCTGGTTGAGTCATAGCTTAAATACCAAAACACTATCTTACAGCGAGTGAACAGATGCACTTTAAAGCCACCCAAGCTTTGGCTTAAATTGTAATTAATTTATTTTATGTACAATAAATTTCATTTTAAAAGAACAGACATCTGACTTGGTCTTTATTGAAACACTCACCTTTTGTCCTTCAAAGAATTACTTAGCCTCTTGGGTATGTTGAGTTAGGCATTATGCCTTCCAAAGGTTATGTCTTTAAAAATATATATATATTTCAGAGAGGAAGGGGAGAGAGAGAGAGAGAGAGAGACATCAATGTTGAGAGAGAGCCATTAATCAGGAGCTATGAGGGCCTCCTGAACACCCCCCACTGGGGATGGAGCCTGCAACCCAGGCATGTGCCCTGACCCGGAATTGAACCGTAGCCTCCTGGTTCATAGGTTGACACTCAACCACTGAGCCACGCCAGCTGGGTCAAGGGTTATGTCTTAAATGTCCCAACCAAAGACATGCATTCAACTGTTATTCCCACTTCACAGATGAGGAAACAGGCTTACAAACAAGTTGCATATCTTGTCAAAGGCCACAACCTATGAGTGTTGTAAGCTGTAATTTGCCGTTTTATAGTCAAGAATAGCATATCTCCTATCCATTTCCGTCATGATCTTCCAGGTAAACCAGACATGTCTGGCTGTATGTTTTATGCTATGAAGACATCTTAGCCAAGCCTTGAAGAAACTAATGCTTCTACCCAAGATTACTGCTTTGCCATACATGCTTGATTTGGCAAACCTCTTTTTTGAGTATGCTGCTTTCAAAAAGTGCAATTTGTTCTCATTGTAGAAGCTTGGAGCCATTCACCTGGGCCGTTCAGGAGCCCCTCATAGCTCCTATCACAAGAGTATGTGCTGAAACTGCCAGGCCACTCATTTGTGTCCGTATGGGCCAGAGAGACCGCTCGTGCAAGCCAAGTGAGCCACCATCTTTATGGGCAAATGATCACACCTTATATTTGAGTAGTGCTTTCACATACCTGATCTCATTCATTCCTCCAGGGAACCCTGTGAGGAGGGTACAGGAGGAAATACTATCTTCCAGATGAGAAAAACAGGCTCTGAGCTTCGAGTGATGTCCTCAAGTTCCCACAGAGGACCTGAATCAACGTCTTCGGACTAAATTGTAAACTTAAAAATAAGGCCTTTTAAATTGAAAGGCAAACAAGTGTTTATTTCAGCTCTTTGGGAATCATTAATGCTTCAATTAGGAGACAAAGGCAATGGGTCTTGACGAAAAAAGGAAAGGGAACAGTTAGTTACAGCAATAGAGGAAGGCATTTCTATTGGTGCAGATAACATAACCTAGTGATGCTAATTCTAAACACTTTTTAATGTTCAGCCCTGTAATCATCCGTCCAGTAGTCATCTTGTTATCTTTGTAAATAGTTCCTTGGGAAACAAGGTTGCTTAGGCCCAGTCCAAAGGTCATTTTGCCCTGTTTTTAACATTCCAAGGTTTGAAGTATAAGACATGCAAGGCAATTCCTTGGGCATGGCAGCTCCAGCTCCATTTTAAAGTGGCTCTGTTCATGTTATTGTTCACAATATTCAGCGTTCTTATTTCTTTATAAGATTTCACATATGAGATGCTGTTGCAAATGCAGGGCCATGGAACCAAGGGGAGCAGCCAAAATGAATAGCTACTGAGGACCTACTATGGTATCGTATCAGACTTTTAAATCTGTTTTCTCCCTGCCTGCTCTTGACAGGGCTTTTGGTGATGCCCCAAACCTTACCTTATATGGAGAGCAATTTTTTTTATACATCAAGCCTAACTAACCTTGGAGAAGGGGGTGTGTGTTGGGGGCAGGGAGGGAAATAGTGCTAACATGAGATTCTATAAACATTTCAACTCAAAGGCAGTGACAAGTACCTCCCACTAGCTTCTGCTTGCTTTATTTCTGTTCATCCTATGTGGCTGTATTAATCATGTTGATGAGAGGTTAATCTTCATATGCTTAGCAATGGTCTTCTACCCAGGCCCTGGAACTAAAAGTAGAGAATTTTCCTGCGGGCTTTATCTTCAAAGGTGCTGAGCAGCGCTGCATTCCGTTTACTCCTGGCAGCGGCTCCGTCCCCTCTCCTCCCCCTGCGCTGTGAGTGTGAAGACCCCGCAGACCCCGGCAGACCCCGGCAGCCCTCTCCTGCCCCCGTGCTGAGTGTGAGCTGCACCCCACTTCCCACTGCGCTGGAACTCAGTTTCTCATACTTCGCCCTAGAGTCTGGCTGGAAGGGGTCTGGGAGCTCTATTCCATTATTCCATCCAGAGGGACAGAGTGCTTTGTTCCAGGAGAGAGAGAGAGAGAGAAAGAGAGAGAGAGAGAGAGAGAGAGAGAGAGAGAGAGCTGGAAACCACCCAAGTCCCAGTCTGCCCACTGTCCCAGGCGGACATGACTATTTATAGTTCTAGAATGTGCCATGTTTCCTCTCTTCTCATGAATTTTAGCTTCATGTTTCATTACCGTGGCTCCTCTCATTATTAGTATCTCTCAATGCCTGTTTGTCTGTTTTAAATTTCTTTTTTCTTACTTTTAAGATTCCTTTAATAGGTCGCCTACTCTAGGCATTTTACAGACATAATTCTTTTTTTAAAAAATATATTTTTATTGATTTCAGAGAGAGGAAGGGAGAGGGAGATAGAAACATCAACCATGAGAGAGAATCATTGATTGGCTGCCTCCTGCACGCCCCCAATTGGGGATCGAGCCCACAACCCAGGCATATGCCCCTGACCGGAACTGAACCCGGGACCCTTCAGTCTGTAGGCGGATACTCTATCCACTGAGCCAAACCAGCTAGGGCCAGACATAATTCGTACAATAGACTATGAGGTGGGTATCATTTCTCCCATTTTACAGAAAGGGCAATTGAGGGCCACAATCCTGTGGCCAGAAAATGGCTGGGGGTGGGTTTAGATGCAGCTTTGCTTCTAGCCGGTGTTCTGCAGCCTCCTGTGGCACACAAGAAACACTCCAAGTGGTATGACTAGTATTTACATGTCCGAATACGATGACCATCAAGCATTGAGGGACACCCTCTCCCGCCTGGGAGGGAAACAGCTGCTTTGCCATGTGGGCAAGGGAAGGCAGGGAGGGATGTATGTGGGCAAGGGAAGGCAGGGAGGGATGTGCGTGGGGATGGGAGGCAGGGGAGTGGAGAAAGGAAAGGAATTAGAATTTATTGAGCACTTACAATGCACCAGCTTATAAATGACCTCCTTTGACCTTTTGAAGAATCTTGTGAGGAAGGTAATACTACCACTTCCATTTTAAAGATGAGGAAACGGAGGCTGGGAGAGATGAAATCACCTGCTTAGGACCACACAGGTAATAACAATGACCGTTTCTACGTACTGAAGACCGGGCGCCAGGCCCTGTGTGCAGTGTTTCTCCACACCAACCGGCACTCCGTCCTCAGTCCCTCCGCAGACGCGGGAAGGGAGGCTCAGAACTCAGTAGCTGGTGCAGCGTGAAATGGGAGACCTGCATGGACTCCCCCAGGCCTGTCTGAGGCCACAGCCTGAACCCAGGCAGTGCCCACAGCGCCCCAGCTCTGCTTCCTCAGCAATGCTGCCCCCCCAACCCCCCCCAGCTCTCCTCTGTCTTCCACACGCTGCCTTCCTGCCCTGGCCCACATGCCCTGGCCTGCTTTTCTCAGTCTCCCTGCTGCCTCTGAGCCTGTGGTCCGCCCTGGCCAAGGCCGCCCGGCTGCCCGGCTGCCACAGCCACATCTGCTGCTGCCATCAGCCGGCTGCTCCCTGGCCTCCAGTCCCAGCTCAGTAATAAAGACGTCTAGGCAGCGGCGGCCCGGCCCACAGCTGTCTGCTTCAGAACCAGATCCTTGTCTGTCCCCCTGTCTGGCTTTCGAGTTTTCTCCCTGCTGCAAATCAAAACCATGCGGAGCCCTCTGCGCGGTGCAGAGCTGGCGAGGCTTCCTGTCCTCCCCTCACCCCGCCCTGATGCGCCCACCCAGCCAGCCCCTAGCCATGGGCCTGTTTACAGGAGCCCTTCATTCTGGTGAAAAATGGGATTTCAACATTCATCTCACATTCCAAGAGGGAGAAACCGATGTGTTTTCCAGACAAATGAACAAGCTTGTGGCAACTCCGTCAAGACAGAAGGGTGGGCGCGGGACTCCTGGGCCGGCCCCTGCACCCTGAGGGAAGGGGGCTGCCCAGGCGGCCAGAAGTCAGGCCCGGGCCCTTGGGGATGGCCCGGAGGACCCACAGGGCTTCCTTTATTATAATAAGTCACCCAGGAACACGGTGTTCTCTGTACTCCAGCGTCTGAAGAGAGAAGTTTCCAGAACGTTCTTCTTGTTCTCCCTCTTCTCACTTGGTGAGAAGAGAACAGGAGTAGGTGTATTACTGATTGTGGCCAGACCCCCGCCAAACTCCCCATCCCCACCCCACCCCGCGCTCCCTTCTCAAATACCCTCCATCATCTGGTTTTGTCTTTTAAAATAGAGAGGGAGTTTCTTCAGTTCCTTGGGCAGGGGCAGCAGACAGCAGTTGGAATCCTGGGTTATTTGTTGCTGCGATTCCGTTCCTGGTAATCAGGCTAAAATAAATAATAGTGGTCGTGGGGAAGCTCAGTGGAATTCTTTGTTATTGGGATGACGTTGTCACGGAGGGGCCTGGGGTAAACAGAGCCATTTCCCTAGGCCCTGGCCCCCAGGGACGACTTGGCTGACGCAGCTCCTGCGCCTCCACTGGGCTGGGCCCCGTGTGTGCTGGGGAGCAGACTCCAGAAGGCGGTCACGAAGGCGGGGGTCCATTGCTGCAGAGTATTTACACCCCTGCCGCTTGTGTTTACAGACCTGCCGGTCCTTTCGGAAAGTTTGCATTTGCCTGTGCTCATTTTGGCCTTGGCCCGTCAGAGGTGAGGCCCCAGAGGAGAAACCAGCACCAGCATGACCACTCAGCCCAGCCTTCACGGCATCTGGGAGGCGCATCTGAATGAGGCGCATTTGGGTGAGGTGCACAGGCTAAGTCAGGGTGTCAGTCTAGAACCCACACGGCTACTTCATGGGTAACATCAGTGATGGAGACATAGGCACGAGCAAGCATCAGACATTTGCTACGATAATGGCAACGCTGGCATGTGCACAGCCAGCTTGCCACGTGCCCTGTTCTAAGTGCTTTACAAACTTAATTCTTTTAATTCTCACAACAACCAACCCGCTGCAGTAGGTCTTATAGTGAGACAGGCCAGTAAGCCAGGACAGGCGGAATAGGCAAACAGACAGATAGTTAAACAGCAGTTTGCAGCCATCTGGTAAATCTTATATTCCCTAAATCAAGGACTTTTATGAGAAAATGGTTTGTACTTCTCCTCCCCAACCAGAGGGTAAGTAGCTTAAATCACCCTACTCAGGGAGACAGAGCAGAAATCCAATTCGTGCCATTTGCCAACTCACCCAAGGACAGAGGAAGTTAAGAGAATAAACCTCATTTTGGTACAGCAGCATAAAGCTGGTGAATATTCTACCAAGATCCTCCCCTAAACACCTTTAAAAACCCTCAAAACGAAGGTCTAGTGCAAGCATGTCAAACTCAAAGGCTAACAGGGCCAAATAAAGGATTTAACATACTTGGTCTAGTGCATGCTTTCCCTCCCAGGAGCACACCCCTGCCTTCTGCCTCACCTCCCCCTCTTGTTCCCCCATGAGACTTGCAACCAGGGCAGCAATGGGCAGCAGCAGGTCCTCCCAGGTGGACCCTCTCTTCTCTGACTTCTTGGTGAGCCAAAGTAGACCAGCCTAGGCTCACTTCCCCAGCCCTTTCTTGCTAAACTGTCCCCAGATTTAATAAATATCCTCTAAATTTCACCTGGACTCCTGTTGTGAAATCTTTCCTGCACCAAGTCAAGACCCCACATACTACCCGCTGGCCCCAGGCAGACCCATTCAGGGCCAGGTCCCCTTTCTGGTAACACTATCATCGTCCAATTTCATAGTCAGCTGAGACGGGCGAAGGGAATTACTGTGTGGAGAGGTGAGATTGGACCCACGCCACGGGGTCAGGCTGCAGGCCCTGCTCCCGGCCTCTGGGCGATGCTGTCTGGGAAGCATATGGGACCAGGTGTTCTTCCTCCATTTTCTCATGTGGATCCAATGGCGCCTCGGGTCTTCTCTGCATTATCCTCCTGCTGAGGCTTATCATTTTGTGAGGCTCTTCCTTGGTGTCCTCAGCAGGAAGTACCCACACTCCTTGGGCTGCGTGCTGGCCGCTGGGTTAGGGATGGCTCCCCTCTCCAGCAGCCTTCTCATGAGGGAGGTACCCTTCATCATCACCTGGATTTTACAGGAGGCACTGAGGCCTGGACAGACCCACAGCATTGTGAGTGGCAGACTGAGACTTAAACCCAGACAAGACTCTGGAGCTCAGTTCTAACCACTGCTCCTTCCCAGGGGCCAAGAGCACACCCACTTCTCCCCCACCCTCCCACCCTCGGGCAGTGAGCACGAGAAGGCTCAGGAGGCTGGGCCAGGGAGCCAGGTGCTGCTGCCTGGGCCCCTCTTCTCCTTTATCTGGTGAAGGCTCTTTGCGGGATTTATACCAAGTTTCCATTATACTCCTGCTTTTTATTTTATTTTATTTTTTTAATCCTCACCCAAGGATATGTTTTTATTGGAGAGGGAGAGAGAGGAGAGAGAGAGAGAGAGAGAGAGAGAGAGAGAGAGAGAGAGAGAGAGAAACATTGATGTGAGAGAAAAATATGTCCAACTGGGGATCGAACCCACAACCTTCTGGTATATAGGACGACACTCCAACTGAGCCAGCCGGCCAGGGCCATTATGTTCCTGCTTTTAACTGAAGAAGCAGTGCTCTGCCCTGTGTCTCCTACTTTCTTATTCAAACCAAACTCTGGTCACCACAAGCTCCTTCCTTCTCACCTTTTGTCCAAAGCCTTCCACTCACTATCTGATGGCCTGCCTCGTGCAGTTCCTGCTGAACCAGCGACCACAGAGATGGGAAAACATGATTCTAAACCAAACGTCTGACATCTCCCTCCACCACTCAGAAACTGCCTGTGGCCACAATTAATAGAGTTCTGAGAGTATTATTGGGACATAGGAACTGCTTAATGATAACATTCACAATCAGGAACTTCCACCTTTTATCTCAGATTAGGAGCTTTTGAATGTTCATGTTTAAAAGAAAAAATTAAGTTGTAAAAATACATCAAAGGCACAAAAGCAATACACAAATACATGTTTTCTGTGAAAAAAATTCAAACAACACAGAAGTATATCGAGGAAAGACCCCCAATGTCGAGGGCAGTTTGATTCATAACAGCTAAAAAGCTGGAAACAACCCAGATGTTCAAGAGTAAATGGATAAACACAATGTCCTGTATCTGTACAGTGGAACACCATCAATCAATGCGAACAAAGAAAGGAGAAAATTACTGATACACAACAGCGTGGATGAACCTTGAAAACATTTTACTGAGCAAAAAAGGCCAGATACAAGACAAACTGTATGATTCCATTTTTATGCAATTCTAGAAAGCAAATCAGTGTTTGCCTGGGGCTGGAGGTAGAAGAGGAAAACTGACTGTAAAAGGGAATCTTAGAGGTGGTGGAAATGCTCTATTTCTTGATTGTGTTGACAGTTACATGGGATACTACACATTTATTAAAATTCATTGATCTGTGCATATCAAATAAGACCATGTTTGTCGTATGCAAATTATACTGGGCAGATTAAAAAAAATATTTTTGTCAAAACAAAAACTCAGACAATAGGATTATGTGATTCGGAGTAGACTGGAATTAAATAAATAGCTATTAAATAGGAATAAATATTTGAATATATGAACAACAACAGAAAAAGCAAGACTCTCCCTTCTTTTAGCTCTCTTATTCTAGCTCTCTTATTCTATACTCCTTCCCAGAGGGAGCCACTGTTAGCAGTTTTCTTTTTGTTGTTGTTGTTATATTTATTTATTTATTTATTTATTTATTTATTTATTTGAGAGAGGAAGAGATAGAAACATCAATGATGAGTGGGAATCATTTATTGGGTGCCTCCTGCACATTGGACGGAGCCCGCAACCCAGGCATGTTCCCTTGACTGGAATCGAACCTGGGACCCTTTGGTCCACAGGCCGACCCTGTATCCACTGAACCAAACCGGCTAGGGCAGCAGTTTGGTTTTTATATTCCTGGAGTTTCCTTTGCAGATAGACATATGGTTTAAAAGCTAACCTTGAGCAGACACTCACACTGGGCCTGGCCATCAGGAGAAGCACCAGCAGCTCATTCGTGAGAGCCGCTGGGCCAGGACGCCTTGGGCTCATTCACCACCGTGGCCGGAGCCAGTATCACGCGATATCTGGGAATGAATGGGATGACTGGTGAATGAAGGATCTGAGACACACCGCAGGCTCCTTCTTAATTTTTTAAATTTTATTTTAGAAAATAGTGACTTCTGCCATTTTCTTATTCAGATTCACACATCTAGAAGCATCTGAGGTCTCCAATATTGAGCATCATTAAAGAACTGGTCCGAGGTGGACAACATACTTGGACAGAAAAAAAAACCCCACAAAAAAGAATGTCTAGTGCCTATAAAACCTGGTTGGATTTCATCTCAGAATGATTTCCCACTTCACAGGTTTTTCATAAAATGACAGGGTTTTGTCGAGAACTAAAACTGAGATGTGTTTTGATTTACATTTTATTTCCTCCACACTAGACACCATGTTTCAGCTTCATCTCTGCATTATAAACACCTTTTAGAGATGCTAGAAATATCCACCAACTACACACCTACAAATGTGTGGGTTCATTTCTGCCAGAATTCTTATATAATTTCACTAGGTGGGTCTAGGCTCTTCTGCTATGGCCAGAAGGAAAATTTAGACTTATAGAAAAGACAGCTTTATATTTCAATAGAAACTAAATCACAAAAGTCTCCGGGGTTGGGGCTCAAATGTGCACTCCCTGGGACCAGATGTCCTTATTGGGGCCTTCCTTAGGGAGGGAACCTTTTCCAGGCACAGTCAGCCATCCAATCAACCTCTCTCCCACTAGGTTCCAGGAGGCGGGTGGCCCCGCCCGCGAGTGTGCAGGCCTGGACAAGGCAGCCCTTTGTCGTGGCGGCCCATTGACAACCAGAGCAGCCCTGGCCCATCCCCCGCCCTGCCTCCCCTTTGCAAAAATGTCTCAGATCAAGACAGAAACAAAGCCTCAGATGCTCTTTGCAATGTTCCCTCCTCAGTAACATAATCCTAAGAGAGAGAAAACACATACACACAAACTTTCCTCACATTTATAATCTAAAGCTTGTCTCACTTCTTTCTGAGCAACTGCAGATCAAAGGGCTTGTCATCCATCTACCAACACTCACAACGGGCACTTATTTAAAATGACTGAACGTGCAGGTGGAATCAGGAAGATCACACGTAGAGGATTAAGAATACGTGGGAATTATTTCGAATCAGGCCAGCCGAAAGACAGTCTGACGCCTTTAGAAGAATGAAAATAATTTTTTAAAAAGAGAATCACAGGAATCCAAGCAAACGACTTCACTGGGGGGTTCTCAAGACCTTTGGACAGAATTCAGCCATATGGACCCCTGGTACCAGGGACACCGGCTTTGGGGGCTTATCTGGAACGGCGGCAGCTGATGGACTGGTATTTCCATCTCGGGAGGTCGCATCCTCTCAGGAGATGCTCAGAGGCCAAGGTCTGGGTGCAGCCGGTCAGTGGCAAATAGCAGCTCAGGCATGGTGAGTGGCTTCAGGAGGCGCGTGGACAGCACAATCACCTAACAGGAGGGCAAACACCACAGGCAATTAGGGAAGACAAACTCAGGTGATTATGATGAGAAAGAAAATGCAACACATTTCTTTGGGGGGGAGGCAGGAGTGGGTACAGTGGAGAATAGGCAGAAGGTGGCAGCTGGAATACCTCCGAGTGCTGGTGTCCTGGGTGGAAGGATGGCCCGTGGGTCAGCATGGCTGTGCCTACTGAACCTTTAACCAGCAGCACCGAGAATGGCCGAGCTCAGCCCCTCCTTGCTGCCGAACTGAACCTGATCATACCGTCACTTTGCGATCCAATAATTTGACCTTGATGTAGAGGGTTCTCCTTCCTTCAGGAGCATGAGAAGGTACACCCAGAGGTAAATGCTGTTGTGGGTGATGATGATGATGATTGTATTGACTTCCTAGTACCCCAAACCGGGCGGCTTAACGAACAGAAATTCACTGTCTCATCGTTCAGGAGGCCAGAAGTCCGAGCTCAAGGTGCTGGCATAATTGGTATGAGGTGGACAACATGGTTGGACAGAAAAGACAAAAACAAAAAGGAATGTCTAGTGCAGTGATGGCGAACCTATGACACGGGTGTCAGAGGTGACACACGAACTCATTTTTTTGGCTGATTTTTCTTTGTTAAATGGCATTTAAATATATAAAATAAATATCAAAAATATAAATCTTTGTTTTACTATGATTGCAAATATAAAAAAATTTCTATATGTGACACAGCACCAGAGTTAAGTTAGGGTTTTTCAAAATGCTGACACGCCGAGCTCAAAAGGTTCGCCATCACTAGTAGTGCCTATAAAACCTGGTGTGATGACGTCTCAGAATGAGTTCCCACTTCACAGTTCCTCCCAAGGTCCTGAGGGAGACTGCCCCGTGCTCCCTTCCCAATTAGCTTCCTCGTGTCTTCACATCGCCTTCCCCTCTGTGTGTCTCTGCGTCCAGTTCCCCCTTTCTATTAGGACACAGCCATGGAGTCACCCTAATCACCTCATCCCCATTTAATAATCTACAAAGACCCATTTCCAAACAAGGTCACCTTCACGGTACTAGGGGTTCGGACTTAAACACCTTTTGGGAAGGGGATACAATTCAACCCGTAACGATGATGGTGATGATGATGTCAGCAAATAGTTGTCAGTCCCCATGATGTGCCAGCACTAAGGACGGTCTAATTTAATGGACATTTAACCTTCATAACAACCCTAAAAATAGGCACATACATTATTCTTATTGTGCAGGAAAGGAAAATAAAGTTCAGAAAGGTTAAGGAACTTGCCCGAAGACACACAGAGAGTAGTGAAGCCAGGGCTCCAGCCCAGGCAGGCTGGCTCCAGCATCCAAGTGTCCGCCTGGTCATTTCTCCAAGGTCAGCGCTCTGGGCAAGGCTGCGTCACTCCCCTGGTCCACATGGACCTTCGGGTCTCTCTGGCCTGTCACTGTGAAGGGGACCCTCCCTGCTTCCCTCACCGGGGCCTGTCCTCTGGGGCAGATCTGCCTCTGCAGCATGGGCGAGTGTGGTCCCAGGGCTGGGCTAGGCCGTGATGTGCTTGGTAAGAGTTGGTGAGGTCTTGCTCAGGCAGGCACTGAACGTTCACGGGGTGAGAAGGTGACCATGGGAAATGGGGAAGGAGGTTCTAGAACCAGAATTCCACAGCCCAGCACCTGAGCAAAGACAACTGCAAGGCCGGTAGCAGGACCGAGCTCTGCCTGGCCACACTGCCAGGTTGTGCCTCTGGGAGAGAGCAGGTGGACATCGCACACTCACTGTCTCCCCTCCTGCCCCTAACTGTCCCAGGTGCAACCAAACCTATGAATTAACCAACTCCCACTTCCCAGCTTACTGGTCAATACCAGGGTCTACATACCCCATTGGGGAGGAAAAGCAGATGGGGATGAAGGCAAGGTTGGAGAGGAAGAAGCACTTCATAATTTTCTTGTTTAGTTAAAAGAAAAACAAAAAACGAGGGCTATTAAAATTTTTTCTTTCTAAAATAAAAATTAGAAGCAGCTATTTCACTTTTCTTTGAAAGGGAGTAAATTTCAGCTCAGTTATGCTTTTGTCAGAAAAGAATGCACTAGAATCTGTGCTCACTTTTCCCTGAACAGCACATGATGGGAGCTTGAGGGCAGGAGTGGGTCTGAGCAGCGACCACCCACAGGCAGTGTAGACACCACAGGAAAACGTGGCTCTGGGGTCTCTACTCACTCCTCAGGGTCCTCAGGTTAAGAATGGGGGCCCCTCAGCAGACCCCGCGCAGCGCGTGCTGACTGGCTATGCCCTGGGAAAGCCACTTCTCTGGAGCCTGGCCTCTCCGAAGGCAAACAACAGCCCCGAGCCCGCAGCGTGTGCAAAGCTCACATAAGGTCAAGTGTGCAGAGCAGGGAGGCGCTCAGCAGTCCTGAGCTGCCACTTCGTTGTGTTTTGTGAGTGGGTCATAGGCCTCCTTCTGAATCGTAGGAAAGCTGAGAACTCTAGAAAAATATGCATGCTCACACACACAATCCTGAACACGGTTTCAGGTGAGGTTCAGGGACAACTAAGTTTCAAGTTAAGAAACACTTCTAGAACCACAGGAAGGCTGGCTGAGTGGAAATTCTACAACTAGAAGGAAAGAGAAAAGCACTGAGACTCAGAGGAGGTGCGGAAGTAAAGTGCAGAGGTACGGAGGCGCACGCCGAAAGGGGTGGCGGCTGAGGACGCGGTTGTCTTTTTCAATCGGGAGGGAGTCTCAAGCTCCCGACTGCTCTGAACTCCAGTTCTGGGTGAGTCTCTGGGGACCCAGACTCATATGGGGAGAAACTGGACTGTCTGGCATCAGGCAGAACTCGAGGGCGGCTTTCTCTCAGAGGTGCTTGCAGTGATTACCGGGGCACTGAGACGCGGGGCCTCTTAGGGTAGGACTGGGGAGCAGCCATAGCTGCTTGCTCCGCCCTGTTGATCCCCTGAGACCCTGCCCCACCCAAGCTGTGCACAGAGGCTTTGCATATGAAAGGCCTGGCCCTTTGCAACCTGAAAATTACTTAACAAACTGCAGCTGAATCAGAGAAACCCAGAACTTCCAAAAGAAGGCCCAAGGCCCCACAGCAGCTTGCATTGCTTCACTGCTGGGCCTCATCTGGGCACCTCCAAACCCCAAACAAAGAAGAGGAATCTCTCCATAGCTCCTGCTGGGTAGCCTCAGGCAGAGGCTAAATTAGCACCTCCTTAGAGACCCAAGAGCCAGTGTACCCAGTGGTGAGAGTGGGACCATCCAGATTACAACTCCTCAGATCCATAGAGGACACACTCAGGGGGCAGACTCAGTGAGCACCAAAGCCCCACTGAAGCAAGTCTTGCCCCAGAAGGGTGTCTCCAGCTCAGAAGTTCTCCCACTGCAGACACAGCTGATTCTCACAGCCAATTGGCCTGGAGGTCAATTCCTCCCAGTGATACCTACAACAATCAAGGCTTAACTACAACAAGACTGTGCACCAAGCCCACAAAGGGGTGCACCAAGAGTGTCCACCTCAGGTAACTGGGGAGGCTGAGCCACTGGGCCCTATAGGACACCTAACACAGAAAGCCACTCTATCAACACAGGGAAGCATAAAAAATGCAGAGACAAAGAAACAAGTCACAAATGACAGAAATGGAGGAAAGCAAATTACTGGATATAGAGTTCAAAACCACACTTTTAAGGTTTTTCAAGAATTTTCTAGAAACCACCAATAAATTTAGTGAGACCCTCAAGAAAACTAGTGAGACCGCCGATGAATTTGGTGAGACCCTCAAGAAATCTAGTGAGACCCTCAAGGTTGTGAAAAAGGACCAACTAAAAATTAAGCATACACTGACTGAAATAAAGGATATTATGCAGAGTTCCAGCAGCAGACTAGAGGATCACAAGAATCAAGTCAAGGATTTGAAATACGAAGAGGCAAAGATCACCCAACCGGAAAAACAAAAAGAAAAAAGAATCCAAAAATGTGAGGATAGTGTAGGGAGCCTCTGGGACAACTTCAAGCGTACAAACATCCGAATTGTGGGGGTGCCAGAGGAAGAGAGAGAGCAAGATATTGAAGGCCTATTTGAAGAAATAATGACAGAAAACTTCCCCTACCTGGTGAAAGAAATAGACTTACAAGTCCAGGAAGTGCAGAGAACCCCAAACAAAAGGAATCCAAAGAGGACCACACCAAGACAAATCATAATTAAAATGCCAAGAGCAAGGGACAGGGAGAGAATCTTGGAAGCAGCAAGAGAAAAACAATCAGTTACCTACAGGGGAGTGCCCATATGACTGTCAGCTGATTTCTCAACAGAAACTATGCAGGCCAGAAGGGAGTGGCAGGAAATATTAAAAGTGATGAGTAGCAAGAACCTACAACCTAGATTACTTTACCCAGCAAAGCTATCATTCAGAACTGAAGGTCAGATGGGGAGCTTCACAGATAAGAAAAAGCTAAAGGAGTTCATCACCACCAAACCAGTATTGTATGAAATGCTGAAAGGTATCCTTTAAGAAGAGGAAGAAGAAGAAAAAGGCGATTTTATTATGTAAAATAGAAAACAGCGTTTTAAAACCTCCGTTCCTCAGACCAGTTAATTGCAAATTTATCTTTAAAAAGTGAAGGAACTGAGTGGGGGAAGTTTCATAAAGAAAGGAGCCCAGCACCTGCACACAAATTCCTCCTCACGTCCCCGCTGAGTCCCAAAAGGCAACGGCCTTGGTCAGCACCAGGGAACCCCGGGAAGAGCAGTGACTGGAAGCTAAAGCATCTGAGGAGCAGTTTTCAAAACACCAAGTCCTGCGGAGTTAGAGATGCAAGGTAAACACCTTGATCTTCTCCCAGAAACCGGAAGGACCAAGCCTTAAGAATAAGGATTATCTCCCATGACTAAGGCGTATGCCCTAGGAACAGGGCTAAATCAAACAGACCCACCTCCACAAGGTCTAAAACAAAGCTTTCACTGTTTCCAGGAAGTTATCAGCTAGAAGAAAATATAATTGTACTC